ATGAAAGTGAAAACGAATTGGCCCGCGACACGGGGGGGATGAACCGAGGATACGCTGCGTGGAGAACGTACGCCGGTAAGGGACACTCAGACCCGTAAGTGGATTATTTGTTGTCATCGCTTGGTTTTCTGTTGCCCTTGACATTCCGTCGATTACAATTACACCGTTTTGCGCGTTTTGTCCCGGTCATCGCGTCCCCGACGAGTCGACGAGACGGTGGAAAGGGAAATTTCTGTGGAATCTCGGCGTAAAGGGGGCTGATCGGAAATTGCGCGGAGATTTCAGTTGTTTCGCGGATATCGCGGCCGGTTACGTGTTCGTAGGCTGCTGCGCATATCGTCGCCCTTAATTTCCCGGTTAATTACAGTACCCGTGGACTGCCGGGCTCCGGATAAGCAGCGAAGCTCGCGATTAAAGGTGCACCCCGTTCGCCGGTTTTCGTGACGCGTCCCGCCGATAAAGTATTAAAATTGACGCAGGAAGCCAACGAACTGGCCGCGGACATGAACCCGCCGGGAAATGCCTGAGTTTCCCGGCACGCGATACACGCTGACGGGAAATCGTTGCTGCGGATCGCCGGGAAAAGCGAAACTATAACATCGCGCGCGCCGGTTAGATTGCGAACGGTGTTGCACCTGAAATAGAATCATCCTATCGATTTCCGGGTCGAGCTCTTTAAATTATCGTTTCCCCGCTCGAATCGCGTTACCCTCCCCCCGCGGGGCCGGTATAATAAATCCGAAATGTACAAACAAATTGATTTCCGGGGCTTCCGGGCGAATATTGCGGGAATCCCGCGCGTTCGGTGCAACGAGTATCGAGCGGTTCGTTCGAATTGGCCATTGTTTACGTATTTCGTGCCGCTGGAAAATATAAAATTCGATTCTGTCACTTCATCTTCTCAAATTTCTATTAAATATAATTACACAAGAAACATCTACCTTCATACGGAAACCTATTATTCAATAACTTCATATGCTCTATGAAACAATATAAATTTTTAAATTGTGTCACTATGCGAGAATTGTTTACAGTCACTTATCACTTATAGTTTACATCATAGTATCTCAAAATTGACGCAACTCGATACACGCCTCCAAATATAGAAATATAAGTACACAAATATGAATTTATTCGAACAATCAGGTCTACATTCCACGAAATCGATCGATGCACGTCGAAGAATAAGACCAATCAGCGCATAAATATTCGAATGCAATTCTCTGGAAATAGCTGAGACCATATTCAAGCGGAATAATTGAAACGGTTGAACGATAAAAGCGAAGGCAGCGTTGGCCGTGCTCGTTGCATTTTTCACGAGACGAGAAAGGGACACGGTGTTCGGCGGCAAACGGGCGAGGGAAAACCGCAGGGGCGAACCCACGAAATATTTCCGACTTCGCCTAGCCGGGCGACGGATACGGACCGTCTTACCCCGCGTTATCTCTCCCACGCCCCGTAGTATTGGTGTAACGTGCACGGGGAGCCGTTTTGATGGAGAAATATTCGGCGCCACGTACAAGGGCCATAAAACGTCCGTGGCACGGCGAGGGTCTGACGCGGAATGGCGTTCTGAGCGAAGAATGTTCATTGACGTTCGGTCCTCGAGGCTCTGACGATGCTGCGTCTCGCGGCGGGATCGCTCGGGAGACAAATGTTCTGCGAAGGTACCAGCCCCTCGTCGCGTCTCGAGCCCCTTCGAATTTTATGCAAAATATTCGCCAACTTCCTGCAGCATGCACTAATCCCTCAGTAGCTTCCCCCGGAGGGGTGGGTTCGCAGTTATTCTTGACGCTTCCCGGTTATATTTATTGGAATTGCCTCGAATGCATTTGATCTTAAATTAATCCTCCTGAATATTCATGGACCGGTATATTCTCTAACGTTTCCATAGCTGGATTTACTCGAGGTAGAAATAATATTGACAACGTTCGTTGGATTAGATGACCAAGGTGGTTTTAGTCAAATGGAACTTGCCTTTGTATTTTATCGAACCTTATCATATATTGGATATTAATGAATCGAAGATTAGATCCATCTACATTAAATTCTATAATTTCATGAAGTTCCTATCATCTCGTTTCATAGAACGTCTATTGTCTCATTCCTGAAAGGTTCTAATACCTTTACTTAACGCACCTTACTGAGCAGTTAAATTACTTTCTGAGATTCCTCTATAGTAACTTCAAGGGTGCATCTATCTCATTGATTTTCAATTCAATTTGCGTATTACTAAATCAATTTCTTGATTAATTTCTTAGAGAAACATCTGTTATTCTTTTAATAACTGCAAAGAAAAATCAGGAATGATTTTCACCCGTCTGATAGATTTAGTGTTACCACTGTTCCATTTTTTAATATTTGCACCCCGTTCCAAGCTTCCCAAACGACAAAACAATTTCAATGAAACAAGCGAAAGAAAATTAACAAGCAAACCTACGTACACTCTAGCCGACGTATAGAGATACCCTAACACCGACGGATCCGATAATGTCGTCTGCGGCTCAAGTTCATCCGATGGGAGTACCGAATACCGTAGACATCGAAGTCCACATTGTATCGAAGGAAACGGCGTTTCAGCCGCGGATGCTCGCGTTGCAACGGATACTGTGCAAGCTCGCTTTCAGGCGACGTATCTTGTTACCGCGCGAACGAGACGGCTCCCGGCAAGACTTCGAAACAACGGGAGCAAAGCCGTTAAGTGTATAAGTCCCGTCTCTCCGTGAGACGTCGCGACGTCTCGCCTTTCTCGGCCGTCGATCCTCTCGAATCGGCGTACACGCGCGCGCGCGCGAGCGAGCGAGCGCGAGCGCGGCTTAATTAAGCCGCGTTGAAAGAAGACCGTTCGTGCGGACGAGATTTTTCCGCGCGTTCGATCCCGCTGGGAGCAGCCGCGGGCCCGTCTCCTAGTTTTAATTAAAGTCACGCGGTCGGAGTGCCGCGGCCACGGCAATTAACTCGAAGACAAACGGGTCGCCCGATTGAATTTCCTAGGCTTAGTAATTAGTTTCGACGTAACGGAGTCGTGCCTCCGGACGATAATCACGCCTGCCGGGATCTACCTGCGCGGAAGAAACGGCGGGAGAAAGTTCCTGGCGCGCGTCGACGGCGATGGGGCGGTGAAGTGGTGAACGCGACGAAGGTGAAGGTTCGAGGGGACATAATCGCTTCAACGTTTCGAAAGATTCAAATCGTTTCTATATATTCTTATAAATCGACGTCCTGCGAACATCATCGAGCAAGCTAGACAAAGAAATTCGAAGAATTAACAACAGCGTTTCGATCGGAATGCTCCAACTCTGCAGGTTGACCTTTCAAACTCTTCGAAAATACTCTCCTCCACATCGAACTTTTCGGAACATTGGTTTGAATATATGGCAACCAAGAAACTAACTGATTCCCTCGATTCCCCGATCGCACATCATCGCCAGCCCATTTACGAACAAAAAGGCACCGTCCTCAGATATCTCAATGTCGGGTCAGGAAGATCGTTCTGAAGGGAGTCAAAAATTGTATTCATCGCGGAGAGGACCCTCATCGTTCTCGCAGATCACGGGTCGAGAATCCGGGAGCATATTTTATGGATGTTCGAGCGGTCGAATCCGTTCTTTCAGCAAACTTACAAGTTCTCGGCGGCGGGCGTCGGGTTCCCCGGACTCGTTAACAATGCATCGACGGCGGTGAATCGGGTACCGACGAACGACGTCGTATCCGGTGAACTCGGGGACGCTCGGGCGGGAAAGGGGGCGGACAATCGGCACGCGGCTCGTCGACTCGGAGGCAGGACGAGCGGATCCTCGCGCGCGCGGTTGTCTGCCGGTGGCCCCCCGGAAAGTGGCACGGCGCGCGAGCGGGGTGAAATTTTAATTCGCGCGGAAGTTTGATATTCAGAGATCCGTAGCCGGCATTCAGCGTCTCACGTGCGAGCGCCGGCTTTCAGCGGCCGGGCATTTTTGTATCGCGCCCGACGGCCAAGGAAAACGCACCCGCCCCCTGTCGCCGCGCGGCCCGTTCGCGCGCCGGGAGACGGGGAAAGTGGATCTCGGGCGAAAGAAAGCCGGGTACGCGGCGGGACGGTAGAACGAGACGACGATCTGTCATTCAAGGACGATTCTTTCAGCCTGCAAACTCGCTGGATTGTGTGTGCAGGGCCACCCTCTTTAGAATTCCCCGACCGTGGAGCAAGAAGCTCGTAAAAGACAAAAGGGGGTTGGTAGCATCGCTGGGGCGGAGAAGGCGAGGCGCGGCGGAGAGAGGCCGTGGGGGAGAGAGGTGAGGAGGCGAGGGAGCCAGGAAGAGAAGCGGAGGAACGAGACAGGAGATAAGAAAGATGGGAGAGAGCTCGCCGGATCTCAGCCTCCGGCTCCGCCGGGGCAGCTCCGACTCCAGGGATTCCTTCTACATGGACTTCGCCCAGGTACTAACCCCTCCTCGCATCTCTTTCTTAAGTCATCGATAATCCTTGATAGATAGCTGGCTGCCTAGTCGGGGAGGGGATCGGTAAATTTATATTAACAAGCGTTGACGACCTCTGAGCCCCTTTGTCGGGCAGGCTTTTCGTTCCGTTGATCTCTGCTGATCCGGAGATAACCTGCGGGGAGAACGACCTGTCGGATGTGCGTTGTTCCTCCTCTTTGCAGAGATTGTTTAGCCATTCATACCGTCAACTGTTGTTTTCAATTTTTTGTATTTCAGATGTTTGTTCTTGTGATCTACTTCTCCGCGAGTTGGACTCGAAACGCTTGTTTCTGTAGGTTTGCCGATCTGGTCTCGTTTGCGATGCAATGTGATTCCTCAATTCTTTAATGTGGAGTATCTTGTTTAGAAAGAAATCATTTTAAATACCTAATTTAGAATTTAGAAATAATTTCAAATATCTAATCCGAAACTTAGAAACGAAGTACCTAGTTCAGAATTCAGAAATTGTTTATAGTTCCTAGTTTAGAACTTATAAATGATTCAAAGTATCAAATTTAGAATATAGAAACTATTCGTACCGAATTTACAAATCAGAATAATACAATAACAGTCCTAGAAAAGATCGAATGTTAACGAGCACTTACATGGGTTCGAAAGGGAATCGACTCGGACATCGAAGAGGTGACGCGTCCAGGTGACAACAACTCGGACCCCATGATGGACAACCTCGAGGAGAACGGGAACGAGCTGCCCCTGCCGATCGAGGACATCACGACGATACCGGAAGAGGCGTCCGAGGAGCTGCGCGAGGAGGAGGCCATGGAGGCGGCCCTGCGAACACCCGAGGGCCCCATAATTAACACGGAAGTGGAGAAACCGTCGCAGCAGCAGCAGCAGCAGCAGCACCCCACGTCCCAGCTCTCCACGCTCGCGCCGCAAGAGTGAGTACGCAGAGATCCCGTGGAACAAAATTGCTAGCACCGCCACCGTGTACGAGAACGTCGTTACGGGGGTAATTTAATCCGGTACCGGGAGAGGCTTCGGTTTTAATTGCAATCCCCGTTTCTTTTCCCCTTTCGCCGTTATCTCGAACTCCCAGAGGCCTCGTTTCGACTATCTGGAAAACGCGAATTAGTTTAGCCTCCGGGGGGGTCCGCGGAGAGATTTCAGCCGGGAAGTAATGATTTTAAACTTTAGAAACGCGCCGTGACCTTCCGGCGGCCCTGGGGGTACACGTGGCAGATGGTTCGCGTTTTAATTTACTGACTGCGTAGATCTTGCTGCAACTGCACTGTTAGCTTGTTCGCTGAAATCTTTATGGCCGCTGAAAATTTCGCTCCACCATTCGTCGCTGAGATAACGGAGACCTCGTTTAACGCTGATGTCATTGCGCTTTAATTATTAACGTTGGAAAGGAGAAAATACGTGTTTGTATTTGTTAGGTAAGACGAATTAGCTGAGATTGGAATTATTGAATGTTTCCACTGTTTTTACTGACGTGGAGAGTTTCTAGAAATTTTCATCATTTTGTATTATCAATTGCACACTGTACACCGATATTTCGGATATTTATTGTTCGACAGACTTTGATAGAGTTGTTAACCAACAAGGGAAGCTGCTTGTCGCAAGTGTATGCTAGACTTGACTTTTCAACTTCAACACACCCTTCCCCCTCTTGACTAAGGGCGGAGTGATTTTGTTTGTACTTAGACTTCCTGCAAACTGAATTAAAATTAACCGTACTTTGCTCTTGACTCGCGTGGCTAGACTGTTGTTTATGTAAATTTTCAGTTACATATTCCAGAGTTTGGAAAATGTGAATATCTTCCGTTATCGAATCCATTAGTTCAAGATGAGTTTTAACTCCATTAAATGTAGTTTAGTATTTCTGTAACAATTAGCCTCAAAATGAATCCCTTATCGACTTCACCAGCTGGAATATATTCAAAATGTCTTCTCCAAAGCACAGGGCAAATCTAAGATTACATTCACAATAGAATTGGGATATTCGATACTCGCGATGATGATACAAGGACATAGAAACCCGAGCTTCTGCTTTACAATGGAAACATCTATATAAAACCAACGCATAAATCTACATTTACCATAGTATCTTTTAAATTATAAATATAATCACACTATTCCTTAAATTCCAAAGTTCATTACACTATTTCGTAAATTCTAAATTCAATTCATTTCTCAAATTCCAAATTTCCTCGCACCATTTCGCAAAATATTCAATTGTACCATCCCCCATTTCCCATCGCAGCTCTGCCGCAGGCAGACCGCAAACAAAACAGCTGCGCCCATCGAAAGTGAACACCTTTTCACGCTCGCGTCGCGCGTACTCAACGGTCCGTCCATCTCTTAGCAGCGAGATCGTCTTAAGTTTCCAATTGACTGAAAAAGAACCGGATTGAAAGCGTTTAAGGGTCGCGGGTCGTAATGAAGGGGCCGGGAAACGAGTCGACGGTGTTCAACGTCGGTCTGGACGTGCGCCGCGTCGCGTTCCTTCCGTTTCTTCCTGGGCAGCAATATTCTCCGGCCGTTAACGAATCCGCGCGCGGCTCGGACGCGAGGAAAGGAAGCCGGGCGGGTTAAGTAGGTGAAAAAAAATAAAAACCGCGGATCGGCGGTGCGACGCGGGCGGAGAATGCGGCGCGCAGGCAGGCAAGGGGAGAAAATATTTCCGGCGCGCGATGCGTCGGGAGAATCGCGCGTAATTGCGCGCCGCGAGAACTGGAGAACGTGTCGCAACGGCCGATGCCGGCATTAAACGCGATGACGCGGTCGAGCCGCGGGCAGGAAGCGCGAATTACATCTTCGGCAGATGGATCGGTCGCCAAGGGAAACGAGCGATTTCTGAAATCGCCTTTAATCTGATCGCTGTCTGGATAGAACGCGTGGTTCTTGGAATTTCATGCTGTTCAGCTTGAAAAATCGTGTCATAGAAGCGATTGTTGGGAAGAATGGATTATTGTCTATGGGTGTTGAATTGTTTGAGGATATTGATCATTTTGTTTGAAATGATGTTTATCTTATACACACACTGTCTTTGGCGTTGTTCTTAATTGCTATTATTGGATTATTATGAAACAGAAGTTCCTTTTGATTCTTTCTCCTTTTGAGAAGCAGTTTCTCAAGTTTATCTCGCATTCGATGAGCGGCCATTAACGCGCAATCAGAACCCAAGTGAACGCCACTTATGCATTCCTTTGAGTGCAAAGTGAATCAAACAAGCTGAATGCGCGTGGCCTTCTAGGTCCACGTGTCAATTGATCCGAAAAGTTCGTACTGTTTCAATATGTCCGAGAGTCTGTCTACCGATAAACTAGGTCCGTCATTATTCAGTATCATCATCCAAACATTCGCAATTTATCAATATCAATACTATCAATATTCTTCTACTCTAACCTAAAACCTTCCTGCAACAAACATACATAACGTGATCCACGACACGAACCCATTGACTACCAGCACTCGTAATACTCCAGCAGCTTCTACAGCACTAGTTCCTGGCGAAGATAAATAGAAACAGTCATTAATTATTCAGTGTCACAGTTCGTACGTTACGTTATCATCTAGTTACTCGCGCTGCCAAACGGTTTCATTCGATATAAGTCATCCCGCATATTACATTGCTCACGGCGGTGTGCCAACAAAAACATTGAATCCGAGCGTGATAACGCATTCGTTGAACAAAGTACGGTAGCGCGGATCCGTTGTTTTTGTTTCCCCTATCTGGAGCCGGCTAGGCAGCGAAGGTTCCTACAACGTCCGCGTCAATTATTCCTCGCTTTGTACTTCGTACGTAACGTCAGGATGTAAATTACGGCTCCCCCAGAACGGGCGCGTTTCTCCTCGTCTCTTCATTCGGATGACCACCGCCACTATTCACAGGCACGGGACATTAGTCACTGTCCATGATTAACGCGCATCCCCCGGCCGCCGGTATCCAGCAGGGAACCGGCGGCGGTTTCTACACCGGCGACGATTGAACTTGATCGTGAAAAATCGTTTCGCGAGCGTCTCCGCTTTGCTCTATCAATTTCCACTCGCGTCCCGAATCACGCGACGTTGCGCGGACGATTGCCCGACGCGTTTCCGCCGCGCGGAAAGTGACGGATAGTCGTCTAACAGGCTGACATTTATTTACACGGCGCAACGTGTACTTCGGTCGGCCGACGATTATTCACGGGATGCTGTTGAATCACTGCGCGCGCTTCGGACTCGTGGAAATATCTTTTCGGTCGGTCAGCAGGGATGTTTCGAAATTAACACGTCAAGGAGGTTTCTGGACCGTTATCATGGGTTTACCTTTGCACTCGAGAGGTGATTCTCAGTCACCACTTGATTTGATTTGCAAAATTATAAAGTCTTATATATAATATTAAGCTTTGTATGGTGCATCAATATATGGAATATTGAAATAAAATAACTTTCCTTCTTAATTTATATATGTTTCCTTGTTAATTAGTTTCGAAGAACATCGTCTGTATCTCATCGAAGAATATTGAATATTTCTAGCGAAACACTTTCGAGTGCAAAGGGTTAAATATAGGGGTAACTTTATTAACCCTTGACGGACCAGAAGTATTTCAAGTTGACTTACCAGAAAATACCGTAACATAGGTAACAGGATTCACAGAAGTGACCTAGCACAATGCTTAACGCAATTGTAAATCTCGCAAGAATAGATAAAAATGTCAAGGGTTAAGCAGCTTCTCAGTTTATTACCGAAGATCCATAATACGGTTCTCAGTCCTAAGCGACTCTAATTCACAATTCCAATCACTGATTAACATCCAGCCCTACAAACGTCATAACAAATCCTCAGTAACTCTCGAAAAACACTCACATCGTCAGCCTTCCCAAACACCGTTTGAACATCAGCCGTAACATCGGCAAACGAGAGAACAACACGAAAGAGGCAGCGACCACCAACGATCCCAGCAATCCCCGATCGCAGGCGAAATCCCGCGAAGGAAATTAATCGCGTCCACGCGCAAATTGATTCCCCGATCTCGCCGGCTCCCGCCAATACGCGATCCCCGGTTGATTAGTCGGCGCTCCTCCCTCGCCCCGCGCCGCCGTGGAACCGGTTATTTCCTCGTTCCTCGACGCGCCGCGTCGCCACCTCGACGGAGAGGAGCCCCGTCGCGATTAATCGTCCCCCGAAACATCAATCTCCATCGATCTCTGGCGCGCTCGATCCCCGCTCGCCGCTCGAACTCGATTGCTTCCGGCGGATATCGAACGTGAATACACGCCGCGCGTACCGCGAGCGTCGCGTCGCGTCGCGCCGCGCCGCCGAAGTTAATATTGACCTGTCACTTCGTTACGGCCAACGGACGACCTTCGTGCGCTCCGCGTCTCTCCCGCTTCCGAGCGTGCCTTATCCCGACCCTCTCGCGTTCCCTACCATCCGCCTCCGTTCCCTCTCTTTCCGCGCGCCTTTCCCGTTTCACCGGAACACCCCGGTGCACCGTCCTCTCTCTCCTTCGTCCGGGGCGAGAGCGGGGACGACGAGCCGGGCCCTGTTCCGTCGATTTACATGCAGATTTGATCAGCACAGGACGCGGACGCCCCAGCCCCGTGTCCTCCGAAAAGCAAACCGATCCTGGGGGAGGCGGACGTGGCCCCCGGCGCGGCCCTGTCCTCTTCCAGCGCGGGTCGAGGTGAGAATTCGCTTGCGAAACCTCGTGAGATCCTTATCCTCGGCCAACGGGCGCCGTTGATATCGCGGATGGAGGATAGGTGCTTGAAGGCAGACGCCGAGGAACCGCTGTGCTCTTGTGCATCGTTCCTAGGGATACGGGACTCGAGGGCCCTGCCAAGTTCATCCCCTTCGTGTCCCTCGCAGATCGTTTCCGGCTGGTTTTCGATTATAGGCACTCTTACCTGTCGCGGACTGTCTTAGGCTTGAGGAGGGTTTCATTCT